TTAAGGCAACTCCAATCTCAACAGTTTGTATCAAATACACAAGAAAATAAAATTCAGATCTAAACAAAATATTAGAGTAAATACACATTATCAGTAGAGTCAGTGAACATGTAATGTCACTCTAGTCCTCCTGAGTTATATTCCCTCTCCTTTCATCTCACCTTCCAAGAAATGGTGAGTAGGACTACCATTCACCAGTCACAATAATAAAAATGAAACTTAAAAACACACAGAAATGTAAAGCTAGTTGAGGTATTTTGTGATCTCAAAAAAAAGGGGGCGGGCAGGGGGGAAGGGAAAAGTAAAGTAATCAGGAATAGAGATGTTATATTTAGTTTAATCAACTAATCAACTAGTTGATGGATTTTCTGTCGATTAGTCAATAAGCAGAGGAGCTGCAACGGGGTATACCAACTGTGACTGCTGTCTCTTAATATATTTAAAAGGCTAAAGTGCAGCAGGAGGGACCCGGCGTGAGCTGAGAATCAGCTGTCCTGGCTTGCACCTGGTCCCCCTCGCTGCACACCATCCCTTTAAATATAAAAGGGCTCTTGATACATTTGAAAAACAGAGGCACAACTTCTGGGACTGGGCGCGAGCCAGGAATCAGCTGATTCCTAGCTCGTGCCTAGTCCCCTCAACCCCCTTGCCTCCCTGTTCAAAAGTTTTATCCCTTCTCCTCAGCTTTTGTATACATTATCTATTTCAACTATAAATTCTTTGGCACAAGGACGGTCTTTTACAATGTATGTATACACAATACTTTATACAATGGGATTCTGATCTTGGTTGTGGTTCATAGGCACCACCATAGTAGAAATAATATTGAATATTCCAATTAAGGGTACGTCTAGACTACATGCCTCTGGCGACAGAGGCATGTAGATTAGGCTACCAGACATAGTCAAATGAAGCGGCGATTTAAATAATCGCCTCTTCATTTAAATTTACATGGCTGCCGCGCTGAGCCAACAAACAGCTGATCAGCTGTTTGTCGGCTCAGCACGATAGTCTGGACGTGCGGGTGTCGACATCAAAGGTATCTGTCGACCACCCAGGTAAACCTCATCCCAGGAGGTATACCTGGGTGGTCAACAAATAACTTTGTCGACACCCACGCGTCCAGACTATCGCGCTGAGCCGACAAACAG